CTTTTACAATTTATTCATCGATTTTTTTTCAATGCCAAATTGTTTTTTTTAGAGGTTTTTTTAGAAGTTCCCTACATCAACAGTAGCATGTAACCTTCCCTTAAACCCTTCCAGTATCGCAACAAGTGATGCTGCTGAAAGAAAAGTCAGAAAGACTGTGTGTGCATTGTTTTTCGAAATATGCCTCATGATGTACATGTCTCCAGAAGTGTAAGATTCAACTTTTTCCCACGGTCTAGTGTTAAAAAAGTAAACAAAAATCACAATAAATGGTAAAATCGAATCGCAATACTTGTAGAATCGCAAATACCTAACGTAATACGAACTCACCCTGACATCGGTGGCGTCTCCATATCTGATGTTGGACGACCAGCTGCTGTGCGTGTCCGTGTTGGACTCAAAGTGGTGGAAGACTTTCAGCACCCTCTCCACCGAGCCGCCCGCGATGGCGCGCTCCGACCCCCCCGCACTCAGCCTGGACTTGGCACCGGCCAGGAGGGCGTGGTTGAGGTTGGGCTCCAGGTAGGCCGTCGCCATGGTCTTCCCCGACGATACCGCCGCTAGGTGTCTGTCATATTCTGGGATGGTTGGGGTGGGGGGGGGGTGTAAGGAGGAGTATACAGAGGGACAACGTCAGTCGAAGCAGAGATACATAGAGAGGAAGGGGTAGAATAGTGTGCAGTGGTCAGGGTGAGGTACTGGGTTCGATCCTCAATGTCCACAGTCTGACCTGTAGACATCCCTGAGCAAGTTACTTAGCCACTACCTGCTCATTAGTCTGACTCCCCGGATGTAGGTTGTTGGTATCAGCCTGCCATTGGGCGATTTTCAGTCGGCATTCTCCTCCCCTTCCGCTATCTGCGTGTTACCATTTTCAAAGTCTACATTGATACGTGAATCAACAACAACAACACCCTGAGCTAGCAACCTACACGCTGAAAATGGCAAATCACATTGTCGGCATACATCTTTTACTGTTTTATGTGGCGTTTTTGTTTTGGCTTTGATTTGATTTTGATTTGATTTGATTTTGATTCAGCCAGACCTTTCTCCAGTGCTTTGATCTCCAACAGGCCGAGGTTAACCTGTGGGCGTCCTTGAAGAAGATGCCCCTTACCTGCTCTTTAATGACCAGTATTCTCAAATGACTGCAAGTTGCTTTGGATAAAAGCATCGGCTCAATTACTAAATAGCATGCTTTCTGACAAATAAGACACAAACTGGGGATTCTTGAGCATTAAAAAAAAAAACATGCTATACCGTGCAAAGCATTACAAAATATTAAGTATTCAAGATTGCTTGGTCTCCAGAGAGAGATACAGAGAGAGGTATTTCCCACTTCCTCTCTTTGCGGTTAGAGGAAAGCCGATACGTTTCAGCAGGTAATTACACCTGCGAAAGAGACGGAAATCTGACACGTGCACCTGTACAGAGCCAAGAGCAAGAGACTGCTGAGACATGGAAAGCAGCGTCCGGTGGAAGAGAGGCTGAAACAGGATCGAAGATTTAAACGGCTGCTGCTATAAGGTCAGCAGTATGAAGATTGACAAGATGCCACCGGCTTTGGCTCATAGACGTTGGTTTGGCCGTAGTGCGAATCACTAATGGAATCAGATTTCACAATCAACCTTCACCACTTTGAACCATTTCAAGCTTCTTGGCTCACACAAAAGAGACGCGTACAAACCTTGCTTCTCTATAACCGTTTGTGTGAAGACATTTTTTTAAGTTAAAGCATTAATTAGCATTTGTGAGACAGCCCACATGCGTACCTCCTCTGTCCCAGCACATGGGGAAGGGGCTACAGCCGCTGGTGTCCATGGATATGCATGTCAGCCTGTCTGTCCTCTGTCTGTCCGTCTGGTCGAGGGCGGACACACACCCGGGGTGCTCCCCGCCACCGCGCATTACGACGCGGCTACAGGGGTCGTCTCGTTCACAAGTCACGCGCGCATGCACAAGCGCAGTATTCCCGCGTCACGCGTACACCACCACCATGCGACACGACGACGTCTTGCTCCCATACATCCAGTGGTCCTTGAATGCGCGCTGCACAGACTTTACAGATACAGACACACACAAAAGTTGTTCCTACAAAACTTCATCCAACCTGCTCGTTTCTGAGGCCCGCCAAGTGAGCGCGATCGCTCACATCCAGTAGAAGGGTTTAGAAAGGTTACCGTGGCGATGGTACTAATGCCATTGTTCGGCCCCGTTTCTCGGACACCGAGGAGCAGAGCTCAGGGAACAGTGTGCTCTGATGCAGCAGAAATACCCGGCAGCAAAGGGGAAAGACCATTGGTCGGCTTGAAATGAATTAAGCCAATCTTTGTTTCCCCCGTTAAAAAAAAAAAAGTTCTTGAAAAGGAAAGCTGAAAAAAAAGTTCATGAAAGAGAAACGAGAAAACTTGCATGTGCGTGTCCGTTACATCGGGTGATAGCAGCGGCTAACACAACAAGCAGCAGGAAGAACATCTCTCTCTCTCTCCCTCTCTCTCTCCCTCTCCCCATCATCTGCACATTACGTTCTCCCCTCACATGCTCCCCTTCATCTCTCTTCTTCTTCTTCTTCTTCAGATGTCAATCTCTCGTGCAAAGCACACACACACACGCACACAGTTTGTTTTAGGCCGCGCCGGTAGGAAAAAACCCTCGCGGTCGTTGTTAGGCAGGTAGTTGTCATGGAAATGTCGGGTCGCCGCTGGAAGTTCTAATTACGGCGGCCGGGCGCCGAGGAGCTACGGCGATGGGTCGATGGCTTGGGCTGGTCTCTGGCTGCTAGGCTCACGGCTACAGCCTGAGCTACGAGCGGTAGCGCGACGTTCAGGTTCGATGACAGAAAGACAGAGAGCGAGATCAATAGAGGGGAGAGAGACAGAGAGAGAGAGAGACAGGAGAGAGATTTCCCCCTTGGGAAAAGTAAGTAAACTTCTAACAGCAGTGAGAATGAGAAAGAGAGAAAGACAGCGAGGGAGAGGGGGAGCGAGAGAGAGAGAGAGAGAGAGAGAGAGAGAGAGCCACAAGTTCTCTCCCCCTTGCAAAAGAAATAGGGAAAGTGAATGAGCGAGAGAGCAGTAGCAGAAAGGAAGAGAGCGAGCAATATTTTTTCTGTGCGGACAGCAGGGCAGGAGTACAGAATAGGGGGAGAGACACAGAGAGAGGGGGAGAGAGGGGTGCAGGCAGCATGGTGAGAGGGGGCGGGGCTACTGTTCATTTATATGCAAATCCTCTCCCTCTCTCCCTCTCTCTCTCGCTCTCCCCCGAGTGACCCCCCCCCCCCCCCCTTGGGGCCCCGCCCACCCAGGCCTGTTACTCTGGTTTTTTTGGGCTGTCAGCTATGCTACGATGCTAAGATACCGTTAGCCGTCATGTGGCGCATGTTAATTAGCATAACGGTTAGGATTATCATGACAAGTCAAGTTTATTTATACGTAAACTCATCAGGTCAGTGATCAAGTTACTTTTGCAAAGGTCAGCTTAATGAAAAGTGTGCGTGTGTGTGTGTGTGTGTGTGTGTGTGTGTGTGTGTGTGTGTGTGTGTGCGTGCTTGAGAAGACTGTACACACATCTTCTTGTGGTTGCTGCGGCCTTTTTTTTTTTTTACCGGATTGCCGATGTGTGGAAGTGTGTTACTACTATTTTCAGCCAGATGTCAGTTGTAAATCAAAAAAGACATTTATACAGCTCAAACCATCTGACTGACACACACACACACACACACACACACACACACACACACACACACACACACACACACACACACACACACACACACACACACACACACACACACACACACACACACACACACACACACACACACACACAAAATTGACTTCCCCCGTTATCTCACTGACCAGACATGCTCAGTAGTCCTCAACATCAAGTGTGCTTCATGTGTGTGTGTGTGTATTTGTTCCTTCTCAGGCATTGGCTATTGATATGAAGATTAGGCCAGAGTAGTGTGTTTGTGTGTGTGTGTGTGTGTGTGTGTGTGTGTGTGTGTGTGTGTGTGTGTGTGTGTGTGTGTGTGTGTGTGTGTGTGTGTGTGACACATTGTGTGTGTGTGTGTGTGTGTGTGTGTGTGTGTGTGTGTCCCATAGAAAACCTTTTGTCAGTGGGGCCGGATGTGATTGTGAATGGGAAGAGCTCTTCTGGGAGAGAGCCAAGCGCGGACCCCCACATCCCCCCCACATCCCCCCTTCACCCACCCCCCCTATCGACCCACTCCCACTTCCCTGTTTGCCTCCATGTGTCACAACATCCAGAAATCAGGCCGGCCAGCAAGCGGGACAGTGGAGTAGAAAAGCCTGCAAAGCCATATGGTAGAGAGGAAACCTTGGGGAACACCAATTACTGTTCACACCGTGGCAACACATTGAGCACAATTAGCATCTGGGAGGCTACTGGAGATGAACCTAAACTCATTTCATGTGTTGTTGCTGCTTTACACAGCCTGTCTACCTGTGTGTGTATGTGTGTGTGTCTGTGTGTGAGTGTGTGTGTTTGAGGGAGAGAAATGGTAATGACTCGCACCCTAACTAGAGCAATGTTCAGTCTATCACGTCGTTAATGAGATTCACATACAGATACAGTGCGCGCTCGCGCACGCACACACACACACACACACACACACACACACACACACACACAGTAAAGTGTTTCTGTGATATTCTCCCCTTTGAACCTATATAATATATGGATATGGATATATAGTATTTTTAGCCTACAGCTCTCACAGGGATTGCAATGAGATAGAAGAACACAGTGGCTTTGCCATTCACACACACACGTTTTTTGTTTATGGTTTCATCATATTATATACGTTTTATTTCACCACACAATCCTTTGCATGGACTCCCCTCTTCAATCAACCATAATAAGTAGTCATTTCGCAGATGTATCTAGCCAAATGAACTGGGTGATTTCTTTGTATTTATGTCATTAATATGTTGGTGGTAGGGGCTTGGCATCTTGCTCAGGGACGCCTACAGGTAGGTTGTGGACAATGGGGTTCGAACCCAGAACCTTTCAGAGTCAAACACCCTAACCACTAGACTATCCCACCAATAGTGTCTTATAAGGATCCTATTTCTACTACTACTATGATGGTGAAGTAAAGAAAAAGACATTTCTCACCTGTGTAGTAGACAATCCTTGAAATATCTGAAAGACAAGAACAGAGAGGGACATGGTTAGACGGCACAGAGCTACAGTATATTATTTATAGGCCCCATATCCCATTAGTATACCATGGGCCATGGCTCCTGATATATATCCGTTTATTATAATTAGCCTGGTGACACATGCCCACGCAACTGAGCTGGGCGAATCAGCGCCCCCTGTGCCCAGGCTTCATTACTACAACACTATAACTCAGCTCACACACTCACACACTCTGCCGTGTTGCATGTGTGAGCTCAGCTTACACGTATGAAGATTGTGGAATTTTTTTACTAATTTTATTTGGCGGTTTGAGGCGGTCTCTAGACTCCAGACACGACCCAGGTACTGTTACACACACACGCACACACACACACACGCACACACACACACACACACACACACACACAAGCACACACGCACACACGCACACGCACACGCACACACACACACACGCGGTGCGGCAGCAGATTAGGACGAAAAGCAGAGGAACTGTCCCCCCCCCCTCTCCAACAGGAAGCCTGAATGAACCTTTTAGAAACTCTAGACCCTGTGAGACTCACCCCCCCTCCTCCCCCACAGCCCCCCCCCCCCCCCACACACACACACCCATATACATCCATACATCGCTTCCGCTGATAGCCACCGAAGCAGGGGGTCAGGTGGTTAAGTAGTGTGGGGGGTGCATTTGATCGCCTAACGGATACACACACACACACACACACACACACACACACACACACACACACACACACACACACACACACACACACACACACACACACACACACACACACACACACACACACACACACACACACACACACACACACACACACACACACACGTCACACACACACACACACACAGGCATAAAAACGTCCCACACACACAAACACAGAAAAATGTAGGGGTCAAAAGGATAATGCTCCTCAAACCGACCCTATGCACACACACACACACACACACACACACACATATACACACACCACCCCCACCCCCCCCCCCCCCCCCCAGGGGGTTTGATGGCAGTATATGTTGTCAACACAGATAATGATGTCACTGCCCCCTCCAAAGGCCGACAGGACGACCACACACACAGGAAATGCCAGGGAGGTGACTCATACCCGACGCCCCCAATGTTAGGAGGACTGACAGACCTGGTGGTCATGTGACACCATGGGGACTGCACTGTTCTTCTGGATCACTCTGTCCTGTATGTACTGTACACGCCTAATCGGGTTTTAGTCGATGGTCCCATTACAGACTCACGCTCTTAGCAAGCATATTGTTATCCCCTGGAAGGGTAAGGAAAGTCCCATTTTCTGCCTATGCGAGTTTCAAAAGATTTGATGTGAGCGGTCGCGACAGTCGTAAAGGTTTGAGAGAAACCACATTGGGTCCCATAGGAGCGAGGGCGAGGGCCGAAAAACGCACGTCACTCATTCAAAACGCAGCCAATCGGAAACGGAGACGTTTTTTCGTTAGCGGGAAGCAGCAGACTTTTTGTATTTTACGGAGAATTACCCCGTTTATCGACTTATATCGATTTTAGTCACAAAATAACACAGAAATGTGAACCAACGCTTTGTGGGTCGCCTTTGGGCGTTTGTCTGTATAGCCTAATGACTTCATACATTAGGATTATCATTATGGTTGCATTTTAAACGCGTCCGAGGAACCGCTGCCAGAGACCGATAACCGCCAGCAACACGCTCCGTCGGGTTAGCTCGTTAACACAACAAGACGATCAGCAGACTGTGTCTCTTTACACAGATCACATCACCCTGCGGCTTTGCAGATGTGTGTACGATAAACAGGGAAGACGACACGCACACGTGCACGCGCACGCCCACACACACACACACATGAGACGTTTAGGAGCTAGTTTGATCTGGTCTAGTCTGAGGAGGTTTAGCGTTAGAAACAGCTCATGCCCCGTGGCTACCTATCGTCAGCCGCGTGCACAGATGCACGCAGACTTCGCAGGAAATGGGCTGGAGCCGACACATCCTCCACACGCCAAGATCGGCACGCACTGCACTCTGGGATCTTTGATCTCTTTAATAACCGTCAATCAACGGCCGAGTGTGTGTGTGTGT